GAAGATATAACATGGCTGGAGCAAAATGATTATGTAGACTGGAGTGAAGCAGAGTTGAGTGATGAGCCAGTGAGTAAGTTATTTGATTCTTCCCAAAGGAGAGCCATAGCTCTTGGAGTAAACAAAAAAAGACCTGTTATGATAGTTCAAGGACCTCCTGGCACGGGAAAGACTGGAATGCTTAAGGAGGTCATTACCCTTGCTGTTCAGCAGGGGGAAAGAGTACTTGTGACAGCACCTACTAATGCAGCTGTTGATAATATGGTCGAGAAGCTCTTGCATCTTGGACTAAACATTGTCCGAGTAGGAAATCCTGCAAGAATATCATCCGCTGTTGCTTCAAAGTCTTTGGGGGAAATTGTGAACTCTAAGCTTGCAAGCTTCCGAGCAGAGTTGGAAAGGAAGAAGTCAGATTTAAGAAAAGACCTTCGGCAATGCCTGAGGGATGATGTTCTTGCAGCTGGAATTCGGCAGCTCTTGAAACAGCTTGGAAAGACGTTGAAGAAGAAGGAAAAGGAGACCGTGAAGGAAATATTATCAAATGCACATGTAGTTTTTGCCACTAACATTGGAGCAGCTGATCCTTTGATTAGGAGGCTAGAAACATTTGATTTGGTTGTTATAGATGAAGCTGGTCAGTCTATCGAGCCTTCATGCTGGATCCCAATATTGCAAGGGAAACGTTGTATTCTTTCCGGTGATCCATGCCAATTAGCACCTGTTGTTCTATCTCGTAAAGCTTTAGAAGGTGGGCTTGGTGTATCCTTACTGGAAAGAGCTGCATCTTTACATGATGGAGTTCTTGCGACAAAACTAACAACTCAGTATCGTATGAATGATGTAATCGCTGGTTGGGCATCAAAGGAGATGTATGGTGGATGGTTGAAATCTGCTCCAAGTGTGGCCTCTCATCTGCTTATCGATTCTCCTTTTGTGAAGGTACTTCTTCTTACTGTTTCTGCTGTTTGATTGGTTTTGGTATTTATATGATGGTAACATGGCATGCAATCACACATCTGTTTATCTTTTAGGCTATTATTTTTTAGAAAACTTCCAGTAAAGCATTATCGGTTTCTTAAGCAACTTTGTTGGTTTGTCTTTCACGATACTATCTTTGCGTGTGGTTGAAATATAGACTGTTTACAGCTTTTTATGGCCTCATTGAGAAGTGATTTCGCTCCTGAGGTTGCAATAGATGATTGCCTCTTGTTTTGCTTGTGATGGATAATAATAAACAGTACCTTTGAATGTCTAATAAAGTGAAACATCACTGTAGATCGGAAGCACTTTGGTAACCCCATGACTCTTAGATGTAACATCATTCTTTTCTTGAACTTACTTCAGCCTACTTGGATAACACAATGCCCACTGGTTCTGCTTGACACAAGAATGCCATATGGGAGTTTATCAATGGGCTGCGAGGAGCGTCTTGATCCAGCTGGTACAGGCTCATTATACAATGAAGGAGAAGCAGATATTGTGGTTAATCACGTCATATCTTTGATATATGCAGGTGAGCGATCTATTTTCAGTTGAATGACTTGGATTTAACACAAAAACTTTGCCTGAGTTTGAAGAATCTAAGCTTCACGCATATTAACTGCGTTCTTGAATATAAGCTCGATAACCTGATAAAAAACTTGTTGGACATGATTGTAGGTGTTAGTCCAATGGCTATTGCTGTTCAATCCCCATATGTTGCTCAGGTTCAACTTCTCAGAGAAAGGCTGGATGATTTTCCAGTGGCTGATGGAGTTGAGGTCGCAACCATTGACAGCTTTCAAGGGCGGGAGGCTGATGCAGTGATCATCTCAATGGTACACATTACTCTGCTCCTTTTCCTATATTTTTTAGAATTAGCGTCTGTCAAATGGTTTGTTGAGAAGATATTTCATAAATTAAAATTCTAGCAGATAGTAAAGAAACAGAGATTAGATTATGAATCCATTAATATGTTAGTTGAACTTGGTTGTGAAAACCAAACCCGATTAACATAATTTTTGGTATGCTTCTCATCAAAGAACTCATAAATGCAAATAAGACTCATGTACTTGCTGTGTTGTGAACCCATTACAGGTACGGTCAAACAACCTAGGTGCAGTGGGATTCCTAGGGGATAGCAGACGGATGAACGTAGCCATAACAAGAGCCCGGAAGCACGTAGCAGTGGTATGCGATAGCTCCACAATCTGCCACAACACGTTCCTTGCAAGACTGTTGCGTCACATACGCTATTTCGGGAGAGTAAAGCATGCAGACCCTGGTAGCTTGGGAGGGTCAGGACTAGGCTTGGACCCAATGTTGCCTTACCTAGGCTAAAACCGCTGTAAGTACTACAAAAACCATAGTCTTCTTCTTACTCTCCCTCTCTGTAAGAAACAGTTTCCATAGCGAATTGTCGTTGTACAGAAAAAGATCTGTTTCAATTGTTACCACAGAAAATAGTCTCTGTATATGATGACAAGATAATTCATGTATATTTTTACAATTGGTTTCTGCGGTTGAATTGTCCAAAAGTTAAAAGTCTTATTAACGTAGTTTTCTTTTTTGTTTTTTGAATGAATGTAAAATTTATTCAACCAAAAAAAGTCCTTTGTACAATAAATGCAACCTTAAATCAAATGTTGTTTTGAAAGAGATCAACAGAAAAGATTTAGAAATCTAGTTCCTGGATTCGAACCATAGGCGAAGTCCATCTTTGAGCTTGCAAGGGTCCAGGAGACGGATGGAAGATATTTTGTTGCAAATCAAGCGATCAAGAAATTTAATTAGTTGATCTGCAGCAGTTATCGGATCACCATGCCTGCGTTTGTTTCGTTCCAACCAAATGGTATGAACCGTTGCTTGGAACAGAAGCCGTAGAATGAAACCAAGAGTGCCTTTGAATGTGGAATCAGATAACAGAGACATGATCTCCAAAAAACAATTTGTGTAGCATCTTTGAAGAAGTCTACTTGCCAAATCCTCCCAGACCCGAGAAGAGTAGGCACAAGAAAAGAAGAGATGGTCACTTGTCTCCATCGGTGCTTGACAAAAGACACATGATGGATTCACTCCCATATTCCAAGCGATCATACACTCATCCGTGGTCAGTCTATTCTTTGCCACAAGCCAAGTCAGGAATGAGTGTTTCGGGATAGAATCCGAGAACCAAACACTCTTAACCCAACTTATTTTGTGGCCCGCTGTTCGAATCTGTAGCCAAGTTTCTGAAGTAATAAACCGAGGTTTGAACTTGTTGTCTGGTCTTCTCCACAAGGCCACGTCCGTGTTAGAACATTGTCCCCTGTTTCGAAGTCGTCCAAGTTCCAACTCTATCCGATTTAAAAAATCCACACGGTGGTACCTAGGTCTGTGGTTCACAAGGGCTGCAACCACAGTTGCTTCCGAAGAGATCCCAAGATCAATGAAACCCCTATCACCGAGAGTATCATATAGCCGACCTAGAGGACACCAATGATCATACCAAAAGGAAGTTTGTGGCCCACCTTTAATCTGCATTGAGTGAAAATCCTTTGCTTGCGATCTGTACTTAAGCAATTTTCTCCACATCCATGAACCCAAAGAAGTGGTTTCTTTGATTGACCAAAAGGAACTAGACCGGAGCAGCTCTCGCTGTACCCAATTTACCCAAAGCGACTTTGAACGCGAAGCAATTCTCCATATGAGCTTAAAACAACTGACCTTATTCATCTCAACAACGGATTTTAGCCCCAAACCACCCTCATCCTTTGGCTTACATACATCCTTCCACGCGAATTTGTTTTTCCTTGAATTGAGGGACGGACCCGACCACAAAAACGCTGCACAAATTTTCTCAATTTCTTTAACGCAAGCCGAAGGTAACCGGAATGCAGCGATCCAGAAATTTATAAGACTTGCGATCACTGAGCGTAAGAGCTGCAGTCTCCCCGCAAACGATAAAAATTTGTTCTTCCATGAATTAATCCGAGCTTTTATTTTTTCAATTAAGGGGAGGCAGTCCAATAGAGTCATCCTCTTAGTCATTAGAGGCAGACCCATATAGCGAACTGGTAAAGCTCCTGAATCAAATGGAAACCGAGCTAGAATATCCTCTCTATGAGGCCCAGAAATACCGGCCAAAAACAGAGTAGATTGCTCTAGACTTATACTCAATCCTGAAATCTTATGAAATTCCTTGAACACTGCAAGAATTCCTTCCATTGAAGCAACCTTTCCATCCGTGAATACCATTATGTCGTCCGCAAAACATAGATGTGTAAGTTTCATATTTTTGCATCTTGGATGAAAACCAAATTTCTTGGCCACCGCAGCTTTGTCAAGAAGAGTTGATAAAACATTCATGCAAATAACGAAGAGATATTGAGAGAGAGAGCATCCCTGCCGCAGCCCTCTTTTACTATTGAAGAAACCAGCCAACTCCCCATTTATTTGAACCGAAAATGAAGCCGTTGATATACATAGATGGATCCAATGAATGAATGTTTCCGGAAAATCCAAAGAAGTGAGCACATTCAACAAAAACGACCATTGCACTGAATCAAAAGCTTTCGAAATGTCTATCTTCATCGCACATCGGGGGGAGACTCCTTCCTTATTAACGTAGTTTTTGTTACTGAATGGTAAAAGGAAGCCTTATAATGAATGTTAGTAAGAAGAAACAGAGAAGTTCTCACTAAATTCACATGTATTTCATCAACTATGAATTCGAATCGTAACACATCAAAAAATTCATTACTAGGTGATATGTTTTCTTTAGTTATACAAATTTTTAGGTATTGATCAATATTTTGAATTTATATGCATAAAAACTACACAATTTTAACAAAAATAGCTTATAACTATATAAACTTTGGTAATTGTGCCGCAAACTATCAAAACTTTGTCATTTATACAATTTTAACAAAATTACATTACTTGCGTCTTAAGATAATACTAGGCAGATCTTTCCTTTATTCTTTTTAATTAGCATATTTTCTATTTATAATTGTATTAGATTTTATTTTCCTTTAAACCAAAGGCGGTGTGAATTGCCTATATAAACAGACCTTTGCCTCTCGTTTGTAATTAATTCTTCATCTCTTGCAAACCCTAATCGCTCTGCAAAAGTTTCCTTAATATCTCTCTCACAAACACTTATCGCTCTGCAAAAGCTTTTGAGATTCCTCTCTCAAGGTATATGTTTCTCTGATCTCTTCTCTTCAGCTTTTTGCCCCTCATCTTTCTAGTTTTAACGTTTTGAAGTTAACCCTTTGTTTCACTATATAGCTGAGATTATCGCTCGTAAAGTTTCTCTCGTGGCTGGTTTTTCATAGAATTAGGGTTTTATCGTTTTTGGTTAAAGAGCTTTGGGTTTGTACTTACTTTTTTTGTGTGTTGTTTTTCCAGATGGTACTGATGCAAATCTTCGCAAGGACTCTAACAGAAAAAACCATAACCCTTGATGCTGAAAGTTCCTACACCATCAATAACGTCAAGGCACAGATCCAAGACAAAGAAGGGATTCCTCTAGACCAGCAACGGCTTATCTTTGCCGGTAAACAACTCGAGGATGGCCGTACTTTGGCTGATTACAATATTCAAAAGGAGTCAATTCTCCACTTGGCCCTTAGGTTGAGAGGTGGTATGCAGATCTTCGTCAAGACTCTTACTGGCAAGACCATAACTCTTGAGGTCGAAAGCTCCGACACAATTGACAATGTCAAGGCAAAGATCCAAGACAAGGAAGGAATCCTGCCGGACCAGCAGAGACTTATCTTTGCCGGTAAACAACTTGAGGACGGTCGTACTTTGGCTGATTACAATATTCAGAAGGAGTCAACCCTCCACTTGGTTCTTAGGTTGAGAGGTGGCATGCAAATCTTTGTTAAGACTCTTACAGGGAAGACGATAACCCTTGAGGTCGAAAGCTCAGATACCATCGATAACGTCAAGGCCAAGATCGAAGACAAGGAAGGAATCCCTACGGACCAACAGAGACTTATCTTCGCCGGTAAGCAGCTCGAGGATGGCCGTACTCTTGCTGATTACAACATCCAGAAGGAGTCAACCCTTCATCTTGTACTTCGTCTTCGCGGTGGCATGCAGATCTTTGTGAAAACCCTCACTGGCAAAACCATAACTTTGGAGGTTGAGAGCTCAGACACAATTGACAATCTTAAAGCTAAGATTCAAGATAAGGAAGGGATCCCTCCGGACCAGCAGAGACTTATCTTTGCCGGTAAGCAGCTTGAGGACGGTCGCACCCTTGCAGATTACAACATTCAGAAGGAGTCGACCCTTCACCTTGTCCTTCGTCTTCGCGGGGGCATGCAAATATTTGTGAAAACCCTTACTGGCAGAACCATTACCCTAGAAGTTGAGAGCTCAGACACCATTGACAATGTGAAAGCTAAGATTCAAGATAAGGAAGAAATCCCTGCGGACCAGCAGAGACTTATCTTCGCTGGCAAGCAACTTGAGGATGGTCGAACCCTAGCAGATTACAACATCCAGAAAGAATCAACTCTCCATTTGGTTCTTCGTCTTTGCGGTGGGATGCAGATATTTGTGAAAACTCTTACCGGTAAAACCATTACTCTAGAAGTTGAGAGCTCAGACACCATTGACAACGTGAAAGCTAAGATTCAAGACAAAGAAGGAATCCCTCCGGACCAACAGAGACTTATCTTCGCTGGCAAGCAACTTGAGGATGGTCGCACCCTTGCGGATTACAACATCCAAAAGGAGTCAACACTCCACCTTGTGTTGCGTCTTCGTGGTGGGATGCAGATTTTTGTCAAGACTTTGACGGGCAAGACCATCACACTTGAGGTCGAGAGCTCTGATACGATTGACAACGTAAAGGCCAAGATTCAGGACAAAGAAGGGATAGTTCCGGACCAGCAGAGGCTAATCTTTGCCGGAAAACAGCTCGAGGATGGTCGTACTTTAGCGGATTACAATATTCAGAAAGAGTCGACTCTTCACCTTGTTCTCCGTCTCCGTGGAGGAAGCTTCTGAACAAGAACTATACATGGCGGTCAATGGTGGCTCGAGCTTGACCACTTCGAGTCTTTTATAGTGCTTTGGTTTTCTTTTCTTGTTTGTTGAACTTTTGATGGGGCCGTAATTCGGGCTATTACCATTCAATTCCAAAGTGTTATTCTATAAATCTATAAGATGATTTATAAAAATACATGGTAATTTAATTTAAGATTGGGTATTATTGAAAAACTTATTTTGGTAATCTTATAAATTTAAACATGTACGTAAATCATTGTCCGGCTATCTTTCAGAAATAATTCTTTTGGTTTGGTTGAATTTAGTATATATATTTGTAATCTCTTTTCTAACAGAAAAAAAGTTTAAGATCTTAAATATAATACACAATAAATATATAAATTGTCAAACATATGATCACATGTGTAGAGAAAAAACATCAATTATCCTTCTACTACGAATGTCCATTGGAATTTGAGTATATAAAATTATCTTACATAAACAAGCATGTAATTTTAGTCTAACAAAACAAGCTTATTTTGTTAGACTCAAAAATCATTTTACATAAACAAATGATCCTTTAAGTCTAACAAAACAAGCTTGTTTTTCCCTGTTTTCTATAATCATAATTTTGAGTTGTTCGAGTTAGTTGCTTGTTTACTACGATCAGAAGTTTAAGGTGCTCCAGTTGGGCTCCTTATAGACAATTGAAGAGGTCGAGGAATAATGTAAGTTTGCCTATTTAAATTTAAAATACCATTTTTTTTAATTTAAAATACCAAAATTTGGCCATAAACAATTAATAATACTGTATATAATTCCTATAGGAATATGATTCCTTACGGTTTTGGATGACTCTAAAGAGCAACTGAGAATCTGTCGTTTACACTTTACATCTCCCTTTGCTTCCATCGTACCAACTCTTTTACTTCGCCCTCCTAATACCAGAGCCGACCGACCATCTGCAATGTAAGAATAAAAGTATATATAGAGGATATTCTGAGAACAACTAAGATTAGTAGAACCTTAAAGAACATTGAAACACTGCTTGCATTAAGAAATAAATCTATAGGTAGTTGTCTATATGAACATAATTAAAAATGTAACCGTATGGTCCTTAACTCTGTATTCTAGCAATTATACTGTGATCCATCTCTTCCAAGTACTCCAGAAAAAAAAAATGGGAGACATATATGCTAGAAATAAATTTCGAAATAGTATACCGAAGAGTAGGTATGTCAATCAGGCTATTCCGGCCCAAAACCTGTAACATCTGCATATTTAAGTCTGGTATGGCCCGAAAAAAATTCCGATCCTATATTTTAAAGCTCGACAAAGCCCTAATAGGGCTATAAGGGTTTTCCGGGCATTCTCGAGTTATTTTCTCTGAAAAAGAAAAAAAAAATTATAAGTTTATAAGATATCTTGAAAATAGTGAATCTATGTATACAATGAGCCAGTGAAAGCTCTATATGTTTGTACTTTATATATATGATAAAAAGTTTGTTTAAGCTTTTTTCATAGATCGGTATCAATTTTTTTTTTCTTTTGTCACATAAAATAACAATTGGAATCCCCTTGTAGTTGAAATCATTTCTTCTATTTAGTCTATATTTGTGTTGTTTAATATAATTATATTAAACAACACAAACATAGAAGACTGATTCCAACATACATATAATGCGGCCGACGAAACTCTGGAAGATAATACATTTCAAGCAGTTGGAGCGGAATGGAATTTTCAATCTGGTTATATGGGAGAAACTGTCTCAACTGGAGATATGTCAATACCACAATCAAGGTAAATTATTATTTTGTTATATACTAGATGTTAACCCGCGGTACACCGCGGGCCTAAATATTATTAATTTTTTTCTTCAGTATTAATTGAAATATTTTATTTGACATATATGATTTTTTTTATTAATTTATATGTATACATTGAAATTTAGAGTTGTATATATCTATATATGGTTGAATTAGTCAATTTCAATTTCATTTTAATTAAAATAGATTTATAAAAATTACCAATAGATCACTAAATTGTACTCAAATTATGCCATTTCCAATTTTATAACGTTACACAAATAAGATAATGTATTTGACTAGGATATTACCCGCGGTACACCACGGGTTAATTATTTGTTTTTATTTTATTTTTTATAACCTGAGGAATTTGTTGTGTATAATATTTTTTATTATACACCGCGGGTCACATGCGTTTTATCTACAAAATTAAAATTTTAAGTTGTATTCATTTTGTTTAATGTTTAAAATTGTATAATTATATTTTGATTTGTTAATTCTAGGATTGCTCTGACTCAGACAGATTAGGAGCATAAACACGCTTGGAAGATGGAGTAGATGAGTCAGACGTGTCTTGACTCATTGTTAACATGAGACACTGAATATAGAGATTTTCAGTAGGAGAGATAGTTGATATAATTTTAAGGAGATTAGATAGTTAAAAAATGTTACCTGATCTCCAGAAACAATTGAGGCAGGATTAACCAATTGTTCAGATTCCTCAAGGACATCTTCTTGCAAGAGTCCATCTTTGTTTAGGATTCTTGAAACCTTGAAAGAATCCTTACCATCCCAAATGTTTTCTTTCTCAACACATAGCAGAAAGAGAAAGGTCTTCCCAACCAAATTCCTTATTACGTCAGGCAAATCATTAGGGTCCTCAATCTACATAAGCAAATTAGTACTTATCAATTGAATGTTTCATATATATCAATTACATATATAATTCACATAATAGAATGTTACCTCATTGAATGATCCACCTAGCAATGATGCAGCAGTTTCACCAACAATTTCTGAGCATATACTGTCAAACAAAAGACATTTTGTTTCACTAGTGTTATCCATCACCTTAACATATAGCATGTACCTTCAATAAGAGAAGTCATATTAGTAATTATTTCAAAGAAAAAACACAAACTTATAAATATGCATTATTATCAGATTAAGAAAAGAAGACTCACTTTGCTACAACATTAGTGACAGCATTCCTGCAGACGTCACACCAAAACTTTGGCTTTTGTTTCTTCATGGAAGCAGTATTCACTCCAGAATGAATGTGAGTGACCTTTTTATTACATTTACGGCAACTAAAGTAATACCAAGCCCAATCTGTATCAATTCCATAGATTGTGCAGATAACTCTAGCCTTTCCAATCTACAGGGTATAGGTAATTAATGAGATTTCACACACTAAAGTAGATAACAATGCTATATGAATAACTCAAACAAATACAAACCTCTGTTGAGTTAAAAAGATCTGATATTGTCTTCCTTTCAAACTGAAGACAATCATCATCCTTATTCACTGTAACCATCTGGAACTTAGGAACACTTTCACGGAAAGTTAAGGCTAGACCATCAGAGGGGAGACTGTTAATAGAAAAAACAAAGAATGTAATTTTCAGTCAGTTATAATAAAACTATAAGTTTAGAGTAGTTAGAAAAATAAACTTATACGCTCTGGTGAAAGCTTCAATCTTAGGGAAAGGTGGATTGATGTGAACTTGTGAGGCATCAAAGGAATTAGAGAGACTCCTAACACCTAGAAAGAAAACAGGAACGTCAAATAAAACTTTATTCATTACAAAACCTTAGGTAGAAATAGTAATATACCTTTGTATGCCTTAATCTTTGCAAATCTGATAACACAGATCACCATGATTCCATCAGCTGCTTGGCATGCTTGAAACATTTTTTCAGCAAATGCCCCCCAGAGTGTGCATGACATCCTATCATCACTGCAGTAGAAAACATGTAATCAAATATTAGATCATATCAAATCTCATTCTATAAATTCTCAGGTTACTTAATAATAAAACAACCATATCAGATCACTCACTGTTCATCACGCAACTCAAAGTCAAGCTTAGTGGTTGGCTTGTTATTAGCTTCAAGGACCTCTAGCTCACCAATATTCACCACTTGACCCATGACATCTATATTTGGTTCACAACAGTACATTTAGTATATACATAAATTAACAGAATTGATTTAAGACATGAGAATGTATATTTTAGAGCATTACATACCAATCAACATGTAAGGATTTAAATCGCCATTCTGTATTCTGCTAAACCTTGCCAGAGTTAAGTAGCTTGAATCAGAGACAATGTCAGACCGTGTCACAGTAGTGCCATTCACAAAGGACATCTTGTATAGATGACCGGTTAGTCTGAATTGCCCTGCTGCATGAGTAAGTGTAAAATGTTCAATGAACTTCCACTCATTCACTTGTAGGCTGTTAACATATTTAGCAACCAAATCCTTCTTCACAGAAGCATGAATCTTGACACCCTGTTTTAATAATGAAGTAGAATTAGAGTTAGGTTTTTAGATGTTGCTCATGTATAGAAATATAAAATGCTACTCTCTGATATATTGTTGTTTTACCTGTGAATCAGCGAGGACCAACTCAAGGGTTTCACCTGTGTTGTTGGTATACTGGCGCCAAGAATGGAGCACCTTAACCTGGACACGCCAAGATGTCTTGTATGGTCTGACATCTCTTAACATTGCAAATTGGGAAGCCATTGGTGAAGGTAAATAAAGAAAATTTTATTATCTGATATATTGCTATTGGGAAATGAGAGAGTGTGTGAATAGAGATGATGGGAATGAGCGGCTATTTATATAGTTTGAATTAGTAGGTTCCATTAGGTTTAGGCGAATATTATAAAATCCTTGATGATCAAGGATTAAATATATTGCGTGATCTTAATTATTGGAATAAAAGAGAATATGCTAGGTTTATTGAAGCGAGAATATAGATGAAATCTCTTCTCTATTAACTATTTTCCAACTCAATAAGATCATTCGATGATTGCTTTAGTTGATAGAAAGAAATGATAAATGGAGTAGTTACTTTTGCGTTTTAATAGGGAAGATTAGATATGCTACGAATGTTTGCTTCTTTATTGGTGTAACTGCAAATATTTTGTGTATCTTTAACTGAGATTGAATTGAGAAACTTAATCATTTTTGCCATGAATGTAGTTCGCAGCAACTAAGGAAAGATTTGGTGACTCAAAATCGGAGCAAAAAATCAAATTAGGCAAGATCTGAGATTCTCCTAATCGGGTCGAAAAACAATTAATTCCGGGTCAAAATTTTGACCCGATTTGGGTACCTCAAAAACTGCTGCAAAAATGTATAGTAGATGTAAATTGAATATATTGAGTTTTGGAAAATACAATTTATAGTATTTATGAACATATAGTTTGTGAAAAGGAAATAAAAGTTTTAAAAGTGGATATTTAGAAGATAAAGTGTTTTGGATTTATTTTAAGTCATTAGTAATAGTTAGAAAGTTTTTTTTTTTTTTTTAACCTATAGTTAGTAAGATTTATAGTTTAATAAAGTTAGTATACAATAATTAAAGTAATACTACTGTATTTGGTCAGAAAAAAAAAGGGGAAGAAATTGGTACCGTTAACGGATTAGAGTCTCTCGGTGACATAACAGAAAAAACAATTCCGACGATCAAAGAACTTCAATTCACCATCCTCTGCCATTTTGTCAACTTTGAATAAGTCTTGGCAGTGTGGATTGATGTCGATTATTGTTTGGGATTGCAAATAAGGTCTCTCAAATTCCGATTGGATTGTTGAAGATAAAAGCCGCCGGCGAGAAGAATCTCCATGTTCCAATTGAATAGAATCTGTATAATTCAGTGGATGCATGTAAGTGAGTGCTATCAACCGAGTAAGTAATCAAGCAATGGAGAACAGGAGACAACTCAATCGATTGTTCAATTCATAATCTGAGTAATCTAAAGGTTAGTGCTATTCTGAAATCGATGATTGAGACAACAACATTTTCTTTAAGATCTGTTTAAAATGTAATTAGTGATGGTGAATAATTGGTAGAATTGACAGTAGTTTATAGAAAGGAATCAAACAACTGTGTTGTCACTAACGCAGAATATATTGTGTTTCTGAAAATCTGATATAAGCTTGAAAAGTGATTGCAACTATTAATCTTAAGTTATTTTTGAAATATGCTAGTTTACTGAGCCAAAATCCAGCACAATCTCTTACGATGATGTCCACAGAAGCCAAAAATATAAAGATGAAAATTTAACAACTACCTCAGAAAGCAAGGTTAGTCCCAGCACAACCAATCTTGTTGGTTGTAAGAGTTGCTTTGTTTTATTTTAAATGAAAAATGCAGAACTTAGAATATGCAAATGACTTCCACAAATAGTTCAGTAGCAAATAGACATTTTACTGCCGATCTGATTGCATCTTTGATGTTGAAGCTGTCTGGTTGATTAGATATGAAGTTCCTACAATAGAAAGTGAAATATATGTTGCATTATGATTGTGTGTAGGGGTTTTGTTCAGACCATAACTAAAATATTAAAAAGTAAATGGTAATTAAACTTACCTCATTGCAGAATTTCTCTGTATATAACATTGTTCAGTTAATGTTTTGGAAAACTTCCTTGAAAGAATGTTGTTTTCTTCTCAATCTTCCCTCCTTTGTTGAGTATTAGTATTCTCAAACCTTTCTTAGAAGTCACTCTAGACAACGCAACATATAGTTGGCCATGAGAGAAGACTGGTTTAGGCAAGTAAAGTCCAACTCGCTCAAGAGATTGCCCCTGACTCTTATTGATAGTCATAGCAAATGCAACAGATAGTGGAAACTGTCTTCTACGCATCTTGAATGGCAGTTTGGTGTCTGAAGGTGTAATGTTTATGAGAGGAATAAAAATGATATCACCAATCCTGTCTCCTGTTATAACTCTTGCTTCCACAATCTGATTACATAGCTGCGTAATCTGAAGTCTAGTCCCGTTGCAAAGGCCTCCTTTAGGATCTATATTCCTAAGCAACATAACAGGAGCACCAATCTTTAAACGCAAAGCATGATTAGGCAAACCTGAAACCTTGATACTGTTTAAGAAATCTGGAGTAATAACAGGATTGTTAAGAGCATCAGAATCTGAAGGATCTATACTATCAGCAGATAGATAAATTCTTTCTGGACCAGTAAAAAAAAAGGGATATGATTAGTTATCAACAGTAGCAACTTAGCAATGATTATATAATAAGCAAGTAAATAGTTAAGAGTTAAAGTATACTCACTATCCAAATGCTCAAGCATATACTGATTGATTGTGTTGACATCATCATTCTTCGGTGCTAAAATAGCTCTCATTTGAAAGAATTTAGGATCACGGATTTCATGAAGCTTAGTTGGATCTCCATAAATTTCCCTAGTGATTGCTTCCATTGGATTGTCTGCTTCTGTAATCAGCAAATCTTCAGGAATATCTATCACAACCTCACCATCATTAGGCTCATTGATCCTACCATCACCAACAGCCAACAACCAATCTGAGAATTCTTGGATTTCTTTAGCTTCCTGAGCACTTAAACTGTTGTTTAGTAGTCGCATGTTCTTGGTCAACTTTAAAACTTTGCAGTGATCCCAAAGGTATGAAGAATTTAGAGATGACATAACAATTTCTGCTCTACCAGCATTAGTAATAACTGGAAGTACTTGTCTAAAATCACCTCCAAATACAACAACCTTTCCACCAAATACCTTGTTCTCTGCGTGTTTGATAATATCACAGAAGCTTTTATCTAAAGCTTCGAAACAAAACTTGCTCATCATTGGCGCTTCATCCCAGATTATGAGAGATGCTTCTTTAATCAAATCTGCTAAATCTGATTTAGCTTTGATCTTGCAAACAAAAAACTCATCAGGATTCAATGGAATAGAAAACCTTGAATGTGCTGTTCTTCCTCCTTCCAACAACAAAGAAACAATGCCACTTGAGGCGACATTAAGACATATTAGACCTCTAGAACTAATAGCCGCAAATAGTGTCTTCCAAATAAATATTTTCCCTGTTCCTTCAGAGCCGTAAACAAAG